ACAAACTCACCCATTTCATTGTCCATATTGCAATAGGAAGGGTCATTTGCATAATTATTGTTATGACCGTGTTCGTACACTAAATGCGCCCAAATGAGATCATAACCCAAAGACATTGGTTTCAAATGATAGGGGTCATGTCCCTAAACTTTTTAGCACCAAGAGTGTTTGGGTGCCAAAATCTTTTTGATTTTAAAATCAAGATTTTTTTATGTTTTTTTGTTTTTCATCACTTGTATTGGAAAAATGTATTTTGAATTTTTTTGGAAATATACATTGTTCAAATGATTGGTTATTGATCAAACATCATTTTTAGAAATATACTTTATTTTTCATCATATAGTTTTGATTTTTCTTTTTGGCTTTATTTATAAGAGGTTTATATTGAGCAACCCCCCGATTGTATCGATCTTTTACTTCCAAATCATATTTATCGGGTTTAAAACGTTTCTCCTAAGAAATCTTATGTGTGCTCAATTATTAAATGTTTGATTCATGATCTTTTGATGTGTGCTTAAATATTAAATGTTGAACAAAATTTAGATTTTTATTTGGACTTTCATGATTGTCGCGATATTCATGGTTTTCATGATTAGTTTTCATTTGAAAATATATATTCATGATTTTTATTTTGTTTGTGTATTGAGACATCATTTTCATAATGATATATTTTTATGTGTTCTCTTTCTGAACGTGATTTCTCATGATATTTTTTTCGTCTATACTCACATATTGATGCCTTATGATTTTCTTATATATATACTTTAAAGCATTTTGATAGTGAGAATTTTTTTTCCCTATATTTGTTTTATACTCACCTATGCTTATTAATAGGGGGAGCTTTCGCTCTCTTCATTCTTATTGTTTTTTTTCCTTATTTTGATGCTGATAAAGAAGGAGAAACAAGTCTATTGTGAGTATTTTATTTATTGCATCCTATTGGTAAATATGCATGAGAATTATATTTTGTATATTCATTTAGTATCATGCATATTTTCTATATTGTTTGTATAGATTATTTTTCATCATCAAAAAGGGAGGGATTATTATGTCTTATGTTTATGAGCCTACTATCTAATCTAGTTTTGATAATTAACAAAAAATTTCTAACATCGTTTGTCAAGTGTTTGCATTTGATTGTTAGGTATCTTACACAAAGATCCTTGGTCGGAGGTTGTATGAACTTGTGCCTTCATGATGATATTCAAAGGAGGTTGAAAGGCAAATCGGAATGAAGCCGTCACAATTCAAGTCAAAGATTCTATAGCGCTTCATCCATGTTTTATCAAGATCGAGCTTAACAAAGATCATTTTCTTGGGTATAGTAGTTTAGGAGATTTACTTTATGTATCATACTTAAAAGCTCAAATATTATACATATACACATTTTTGTTTTATAGCCTTCAAGTTTACTCGTATAAATATGAAACTAATAGTTATATATATATATATATATATATATATATATATATACACACACACACACACACTAGTTTCATATTTATCATCTTTATTTGAGAAAACAATGTGTTTATAGATTAAAGACTTGATTATACTATTTTATATCCTTTCTAAAGTCTGTTAATTGATTTTGCAAAATCTTAAGAATACACAAGCTGGTTTGAGAAAAATTTATGAAAATCAAGTGTTTTGAGATTTTGTATTTTGACCGATTTTGCAAAATGATGAATTTTCGCAAACAGTAAATGATATTTGAAAATTTCTTTTCTAACATGTTTGTTTACATCAGAATAATCATTTTCCTAAGTTTCACAATTTTTGAAATTTATTTACTATTTTTAAACACACTTTAAAAATCAATTTTACTATGCATATATGGGTTGTGCATGTTTTTTAGTCGACCGACACTGTTCATCAGTCGATTGATAAACTGATCTGCAATTTTAATTTTTGTTTTTGTTCAGTCGATCGATCCTTATCAATCGACTGAACAGCATATCAGTCGATCGATGAGCTTCATCAGTCGACCGACAGAGTGTTGATTTTTCAGAACTTAACCAACGGTCATCTCATCAGTCGACCGATACTCACCATCAGTCGACCGATAACCCTGTAACGGCTACATTCTATTTTTCTCTTTGAGAGGCTATAAATACCTCTCATCTCTTAATTGTTTTTAACAAGGTTTTAACCAAGTTTTTAAGAGTTTGTTTTCTCAGTTTTAAAGAGGTTTTCAAGTTTGTTTATGTGAATAGTTTCACAAAGAGAAGGATTCGAATTTTATTTTTGAGGCGTTCAACCTCAATCATCTACATCTCTTTGTTTGGAGAAGTTTTTCTAAACTCATCATCTAGCTTTTTATTATTTTGTTTCTCATATATTTATGCTAGATTGATTTTAGTTTAATTTGATTTACTTATTGTTTCACACACAACCAATGAGCTTAAGTATTTCACATATAGTATTATTGGATTGTGGGTGTGATCATTAAATGAGCTTTCAATTTTGTTCTCATCTTGTTAGAGAACAAATTATTTACTTGAGCTTATTGTCGAATCATGTTGTAATACACAATAACACTTAGAGGAGTGGTTGTGAGAAGAACGAGATCAATTCCAAGAGAAGTGGCTTCGTTGTAAAAGCCTAGGGAGACGTAGTAATTCGAAGCACTTGAGAAAAGTGGCACGGGTCGGCCAGCACTTGGAGAAGTGTATTATGTGATTATCAATGTATGATTGTAAAAGTTTTCGTTGAGCTTTAAAAATCGATTGTGTAGTGATTTTGAGATAGTGGAAAATCTCCTCGAGGGTGAGGAGCGGAGACGTAGGTCGAGGGTTACCGAACTCCTTGATCATTTCCTTTGTGTTTGCGATTGTCTTGGCGCACTTTTATCTTTGTTATATCTTGTGCATGTTTATATCGCCTATTGTGTCATATTGTTTATCCTTGCATATATCTCAGTGTACATCATATTGCTAGGATATTACTTAATAAGTTTTATTTTGGCATCAATATCGGATTAGATTAGCAATTACCCTATTCACCCCCTTCTATGGTAATTTCACTACTATCCCGGATGTCCATACTTGCCAATTAGATGGTTCTAATTTTATCATCGTGTCAAAACTCTCCATCTTTTCCATCCCAAAGCATATCTCAAATTAGGGGTTTGATACCACTCATTACAATTTTTACAAAGATTATTTGCGGATTTGAATACCAAATATAAATAATGGCACCAATGAAAAAATCAGTTGCAAGCAAACACCAAGATTTTTAACGTGGTTGATAAATCATGCCTACATCCACAGGACAATCTAGACAGAAATATTTTATTATAAATCAAGAGTACAAATCTATACAGCTACACCCAAACTTGAAATTAAATCATAAGTGAAAATATGATGTTACCTCCAGGCACCAAAATACTAAAACAAATTTCTCGATAAATCTCCAACAACTAAAGAGAAACCAACACCGTACCCTTGATGTTATCGTCATTATGAAGAAGAAAGTGTGACCAGAATCAGATAACCGAGTACTTCGAAAATCAATTTTTAATCTTCTTCTCTTTTTCTCTCTCTTCACCTCTTAAAAACAGCACCCTCCCATATTTTGTGTTTTCGGTGCTGTTCCAACATCAATTACAGGGTTTCACCAAAGTTACCCCTTATTTAAAAGGAAAACTATTCTAAGGTACCCCAACCTATTAGAATTGCTTACATATCCAAATCCCCTTCTAATTAGGATTTCAATCAACTTCGAGCTGTCTTGATGGGCCTAACTTGGGCTGTACGTACCAACGCAACATAAACAACCTTCAATAATGGAAACAAAGAGCCAGGTACATTTTTGCACTATTTCCCCTTTTTAGACATCAAAGCCTCCCGAATAAAGGCCGCTAAAGATTTTGGAGCCATTTGGTAGTGAAAGATACAACCAACCAATTTTAGACCGCAACTAATTAAAAAGCCAAGAAGGAAAGGAGAAGAAATTTGAAAGAGTTGTTGATGTAACCTATCGCTTATCAAAAGGCTAGTAGACTTTTACACATGTGACACGTTAATTAGCCTTTAGATAACGTCCTCCCATGTTGAATATCTTGACATATAAGCTCTCATTAACCCAAAGTCGGAAACCTGCGGAAAGATCCGGTTAATTAAGAAAAAAACAAAAAAATTACACTACACTGGCAGACCATCTTACTTTTCCGAACACATGCATCAATATTGGTAGCAGATCAGTTATATACATATGCCTTCGCCTACAGGTAATGTCCACTACGCTTTTATATAGCTAGGTCACCCAAAAGTAGCAGGAGCGTATGCTGAAATGTTATTGAACAGATTCCAGCAGCCTATAATGATCAAATAAGACAAGCGACCATACTGATTTGATAATGACTCGCGTCCATTATTAACACCAGACTCAAAATTATTATTTATACAACAATATATTTTATTCTTGATACAGCATGATCTATACTATGGGAATTACTGTTCATACTACCGTCTATTTTCAATCTCAAACCAACTGTTCCCACTGTGCTGATTTGCCCAATGAATATTGTTTATGCTACAGTATAATTTTCAAAATTTTAAACACTGCTCGTATGCTACAGCGGTTTTTTTGCTCTTTTTTACTGTTCAAGCGGAACTAACAATTTTTAATCTTGAAAATACTATTCATATCGTTTTTTTTTTCGTTCTTGCAAATGATGAATTTAACTATTACCAGACATTTCACAAATATAAATCTTTTTCGTTCTATTATATTGCTAATTTCTATATTACGTTTTAGCTGGGTTGGAGGTTCACTCTACAATAAATAGTAGAAAAAAAGTATTGCTATAAGTTTTTATAAATACTTATATATTATAACTATATTATCAATTTGGTGATAGATACTGGGTAAATAATATCCACAAGCGCGCTTAATACTAGCATATATAGAAGAGGAGGCTGATCATGCTCCCAAGTAATATTAAAATCTTGACAAATGCAGCAAGCTATCATAATGATTTAATAATGACTAGTGTACTTGTGTTCATTACTAACTCCAAACTCATCATAACTCTCCTACATATAAGAAGAGGGGGGTGATCTTGCTCCGAAGGGAAGAGCACTAGCTATAGGATTGTGTTAAAAAGTGAGCTTTCTTGTTCCTCTGTATTTAAATTTCTTTTAGTTTGCTAACTTTTACTAAATTATTGTTTCATACTAACTAAATGTGTTTTAGCTTATCATTCCCCTAGAGTAGTTATGCTCAATTCAGTCGTGGAATGCACGGAGGGAAAAGATAACTAAAGGAAAAGAGTAGGTAACTGACTGAGCTCAGATACTGGTACTTCCCCTCTTCCTTTATTAGTTATTTATTTTATTTTTTATTTTTCTTTTTTTGGTTCCTTTACATGTTTAAGAAGACATTCTTCTTTCTTATACAAGCAGAATCCCCTTTCTTTAATTATTACTAATATTTTTGTTTATCTAATGCGTGTATATGACTTTGAACCTAGATGAGTGTTGTAGGCCAACTGTTAAGGGCACATGCAACTTTTTTTTTTCTCGCTTGGTTGCCATGTTTGAGGATGTTTCCGCTGATTTTTCCAGATATAAGGCAATTTCAATGAAATTTTTTCAACTATATGTTTTCTTTTTTTCCAACTATATGAGGACATTGTTGGATAGCATGTTATTGGGCCAAACAGTATTCCTAGTCTGTTATGATTTTGGTTTTAGAATCATTAGGATTCCTAGTCTATTTTGGTTTTGGTTTTAGAATTGTTGAATTCCTAGTCTGTTTTGATTTTAGGGATTCTCTATATATAGAATGTTTTAGAAGAGATTTGTAGAGAGAGAAAAGAGAGTCTTTTAAGCACTTTGAGGGGGAGATTATTGTAAGGGAGTGAGAGATTGTTGGTTAGAGTTATTTTGAGTGTTTGAGAGAGTTGTAACCTATTGTATTTCTCCTCCATATAGTAACATATCCCCATCCTCTCCTAGTGGACGTAGGTAATTACCGAACCACGTAAATCTCTGTGTTTGTGATTGATTTTGGCCGATCTTTTGTGAATTGCACTTATTGGTTGTTTCTCCTCTCATTGCTTGACGACTCGTTTCATTCGCGAGCACGCTTTCGTCGACGCGCAACAATTGGTATCAGAGCTCTAGGGTTTCAGACCTAGATTTGTTTTGGGTAAAGGAAGATTCGTTGTTGGAAGCTTGGATATTGGAGATCTAGGCTTCGGTGCAAATAGCTTTGTGGAGTTTGTTAGAGATCTCGCCTTCTTCGTGTGGTTGGGTGATCATGTTGGAATCCTATTTAGGCGCCAGTTGGGTAATTTTACAAATCTATCAAGTTCGAATCTTTCTTTACAATTGGAAGTTAGCAAGCAATGTGAAATAGTGGAGAACGCAGCTTGGCTACGGCAAGTACAGTTCAGGTTGCACTTCAGAATACGAAGATTAGTGTTGTGAAGTATGACGGCAAGATCAACTTTGGGTTGTGGATGAGTGATGTGCATGATGCTTTGAATTCTAAGAACATAGAGGAGACCATCATGGTCCATGAGAGGCCACCGAAGAATGATGAGGCGATATGGGATAAGATGAATCGAAATACTTGTGGAGTAATTAGATCTTCTTTGGAACAAGAGTTGAAGCACGATGTGATCGGCGTGACGTCTGCGATGAATATATGGGAGATTCTCAACAATAAGTATCTTACGAAGAGTGTTGAGAACTGGTTGCACTTGCTATGAAGATTAATCAGATTCTAGATATCCAGGGGTACCTTACCTGCAGATCATGTGAACAACTACACAAAGTTATTGTCGAACTTGTCGAACGTGGATGAGAAGATATCGGATGAGTACAAGGTAATCATTTTACTAGGCTCGTTACCAGATGAGGATTTTGATACCTTTGCGCTATCATTGTTGAATGATAGATCTTCCATCATATAAAGTAAAGTTGCTAATGCATTGACGAATTTTGATTTGAGGAAGGATAAAGAATCTTCCAGAACTAGCACTTCAGGAGAGGTCTTGTCGCCAGAGGTAGGAGTCCCAATTCGAGAGGTGGCAACAGAGGCATGTCAAAGTCAAGAGGCCACTACCAATTAGCGAAGAACCAGTGTGCTTTCTGCAAAGATCAATGACATTGAAAGAGAGATTGCCCGGAGCTCAGAGAGAAGAAGAATAGAAAGAAGTAGGGCCTGAAGGCCAATGAGGTGAATGTTGCTAAGAATGGTAACGATTCAGATGATTCATGCTTTTCTCTATTGATACTCCAGAGGTTAATCATACTAATGTATCAGATTGGATGCTGGATTCTGGTGCTACTTATCATATGATTCCCCGATGAGATTGGTTTGCATCTTTTGAGAAGCTCGATGAGGGTGTGGTGATTGTGGGAAACGATTAGTCCTTTAGTATTTGTGGGATATGTACCATTAGGATTCGGATGCACGATGGAGTTGTTTGTGAATTGAATGAAGTGAGATTTGTTCCTCAGCTGAAGAAGAATCTTATTTCTGTTAGAGCTTTAGAGGTAACGGGATTCAATGTGACTTTTGAGAGCGTTGTAGCAAAAGTTACTAAGGGATTTTTGGTAATGATGAAGGGAGTCCGCAGTAGGAATCTATATTATCTGAAGGGAAGCATCGAGATTGGCTAGGTAGCTTCAGCCGTTTCAGAGGTAGACAAGAGCATACTTTAGCACTACAGATTGGGGCACACAGGTAAAAAGTCACTGCAGGCGGTGTGCAAGTAGGGGCTATTGAAGGGAGCCAAAAGTGGGAAGATTGAATTCTGTGAGTACTGTGTTCTTGGCAAGAAGACTAAAGTGAAGCTCGGGACAACCATTTATAGGACGACAGGCATCTTGGACTATGTGCACACGGATGTTTAGGGTCCCACCAAGACGGCATCACTTGGTGGTTGATATTAGTTCGTCACGTTTATAGATGACTATGAAAGTACCCTAGAGGGGGGTGAATAGGGTATTTGCTAATCTAATCCGATATTAATACCAATTTAAAACTTATTAACAATCTATCATAGCAAGTATGATATTCAATAAGATATGAGTAAGGATATGTAATAAAATAATAGGCGATATAAACATGCAACAATGACAATATAGCAATATGATGAACAATGAGCACAAAAAAAATATGCCAAGCAATCACAAACACATAGAATGATCACGGAGTTCGGTCGACCCACGACCTACGTCTCTGCTCCTCACCCTTGAGAAGAATCTCCACTATCACAAATAATTACTACACCAATCGGTTTTCCAAGTTCACCAAAAACTTTTACAACTCTCACAATTGCAATCACATAACACATCCTCTAAGTATTAACCTAGCCCGTGTCACCTTCCTCAAGTGCTCGAATTTATAACATTTCTCTAGACTTTACAACCGACGCCACTCCTCTTAGAATCGACCACGTCTCTCCCAACCACTCCTCTCGGTGTCCTTATGTATTACAATGTGAACTCAACAACAAAGCTCAAATAAAGGATTTGTTCTCTATTATAAAGATGAGAACTAAGTTAAGTCCACACTCAAAGATACAATCTCACAACCCTAATATTCTATGTATGAAAATAGAGACGTCACATTCAATGAGGCTTTGATCTTGAAGCCTACCAGCTCTCATCAGGTGGAGAGCACCCCAATAAAGGAGATATCTCAAGTGGTGGAGGTTGATGCAGCTCCACAAAGTCCAGATGCGATCATGTATATTAGAGTGCCGACTTAGGTGACGTCAGGCGAGCATGGTGATGATTTGAAGGATACAGGTACGAAAGGGCATGATCAGGGATCGACGGCTCAGGTTCAGGATTTGATTGTAGTTTGGAGACTGAGGAGAGACATACGGTTGCCAGCAATGTATATGAACATAGTCGTTGTATATGCACTTCCGGTGGAGAGTATCGACGAGATGGTTCCTACTACATACAGAGAGGCTGAGCAGATTTCAGAGACAGATTTGTGGCAGAAGGCTATGCAGGAAGAGATGAAGTCTCTTCACATGAACAACACATGGGAGCTTGTTGAGCTTCCAAAGGGGCGGAAGACTATTGGTTGAAAATGGATGTATATGAAGAAGGAGGGCATATAGAGTACTCCTATAAGGTTTAAGGCTAGATTGGTTGTGAAGGGTTATGCACAGGAAGAAGACATTGACCACAATGAAGTCTTTTCTTCAGTGGTGAAGCACTCTTCAATTCGCATCTTGCTAGCTTTGGTGGCACAATATGGTTTGGAATTGGATCAGTTGGATGTGAAAACAACTTTTCTTCATGGTGATCTTGATGAAGAAATTTATATGACTCAACCATTGGGGTTTCGAGTTGTAGGAAAGGAGAAATTGGTGTGTAGAAGCTTGTTGCAGATTCGTGCTTGTTGAGGTCTGTTGAGGCGATTTGGATGAACTACGGGCGAATTGATCCCTTAGAAGAGGGGGTACGTAGACAACCACATTGGTGCAGCCGGATTTAAAGAGATGACACATTGGTGCTCTTGCTGGTGTTGGCTCATTTTTGGGAATAGTTTGTTGAGGTGGAGAATTGTTGGATAGCAGATTATTAGGCCAAACAAGATTCCTAGTCTGTTTTGATTTTGGTTTTAGAATTATTGGGATTCCTAGACTATTTTGGTTTTGATTTTAGAATTGTTGGATTCCTAGTCTGTTTTGGTTTTAGGATTTCTATATATATAAAACGTTTTAGAAGAGATTTGTACAGGGAGAAAAGAGAGTCTTTTGATCACTTTGAGAGGGAGATTATTATGAGGGAGTGAGATATTGTTTGTTAGGATTATTTTGATTGTTTGAGAGAGTTGTAACCCATTGTATTTCTCCTCCATATAGTGAAATCTCCCCATCCTCTCCCCGTGAACGTAGGCAATTGCTAAAACATGTAAATCTCTGTGTTCGTGATTGATTTTGGCCGTTCTTTTGTGAATTGCACTTGTTGGTTGTTTCTCCTCTCATTGCTAGACGACTCGTTTGGTTCGCGAGCACTCTTCCGCCAACGCGCAACATACAAGAGGAAAAGGGAACTACTTTTAAATGACAATATATAGATATAGAGATATGTCCCACTCTTAAATGACTATATATAGATATATAGATATGTCCCACGAGTTATTGAACAACACTGTATCTTGTAGAATTTGATGTTCCATGGTAATTTTTTAACTTTTTATGTACAACATGTTAAAGGTGACACTATATAGATATATAGATATGTCGCACGAGTTATTGAACAATACTGTATCTTGTAGAATTTTATGTACCATGTTAACTTTTTAACTTTTTATGTACAACATGTTAAAGGTCTCTTGCATTACATCAAAACTTAAAGCTATTGTAAGATTTGAGAGATAAACTTATACTCTTACCATGTTCTTTCAGGTTGAGAGCTATTTTTATACGCTGAAACTCAAGCTATTGAAACTTGTACTCACATGATCTGCAACAGAGCTAGAGTTTGTGTCAGCGAGATTCCCATTAACTTATCATAGTTGAATTTTAAATCTATATTAGTAAATTTATGACTATAATCCTTTTTACTGGTTTCCTATTTTTATTTTATGGTATTTTAAGTAGTAAATACAAGTAAAAATAAACAAAATAGCTATAAAGTAGGAAATTCATGATGGACACTATGTAGCTTCATCACAATACACAATGTTATATTTTCTTGATTAGCTATAAACTTAGGGGTTTTTTTTCCAGGAAACCACCTTATATTTAGGGTTAATGTACGTAAACACCATATATTTCAAATTTACATTTGAACCACATGTAAATTTAGTTTTTCTTCTAATCAACTACCGGACCCCACTTTACTACTAAATTTTCTTAAAATTTTAACAATACCCTTATTTAATCTCATGTAGAAAGTTTAAATTTATGGACAAAATGATTCTTTCATTGCACTAAAGCTGGTGAGGCTAGAGAGATGTGCATGCTTTTACACTACTCTAACACTACATGTACAGCAGGGATCAATTTGTCTTATTGCCAAATCCATCATCACCATTTCCTTCATGGAATTATCAGCAGCTGATTTGTTTACGGACCAAGTAAGTACAAATATGACCAAATCCAAAGTTTATTTTTTTTGAATTCAATCAAATCTTACTAAAGATAATTGGTACAAATTTTTATTTTTATTTTTTCAAATTAAACAGGAAATAGAGGACCTGAGTTTCATTGATGAATGGGAGTTAAGCTCTCTGGACCAAGATTTCTCTTCAACAAACATCTGGGATTGTTTTCAAGAAACACAATCCTCAGAGAGTTACAATTCCTCCTCCCCTTGCTTTGAGTCTCCCTTAACTCCTGCTAGCATTATGGAGCCTGTAGATAAATTTCTTACGCCCAATAAGAACTGGAGCTTTTCTTCTACGAACACGGGCATTTTGTCCTTCGGACATCCATGTTCGGATGAAGGATTTAAGACGGTGGAAGCTGCGATCATGGAATCGAAGAACGTGAAAGTGAAGCGGAGTGCGACCGGTAATCAAGAGCATGTAATTGCTGAGAGGAAGAGAAGAGAGAAGTTATCCGAGCATTTGTTTACGTTGTCCAAAATTATTCCTGGAACAAAGAGGGTAATTTTCCCACGTTTCTTCATATGCACAATTTCCATTTGAATAATTTGAAGGGTTAGTTGTGGATAGACCTCCTCTGGTACCGCCCAACTGTGGTTAAGACCCCATTAGTTCTATCAGTGCTAAAAAATCCCCTATACTATTTGCCTGGGTATGGATAAATCCGTTTGAGAGAATTTATTTTTACTTCTAAAAGAGTAAACAAAAGTTCACTCAGGGTGTATATCCACACAAATAATAGTTCAGGGAGTCTATTTACAATTCAACTATAGTATAAGGTGCCTATCTACAAGTAACCCTGTTTTAAAAATAGTGTAAAATTCATAACACTTCTTCTACAGAGAGACAAAGCCTCTATTCTCAAGGATACAATTGATTACCTGAAAGAAATGGTACAAAAACTAAAGACCCTCGAAGAGCAAGTAGCAAAAAGAACAATGAAGTCCATATTTATACCGTCTGAAAAGTCCCAGTCATCCGGCGTTGGTGATGTGGAAAGCGGTGGCAACCCTCCCTCAGCCGATACCCTTCTCGAAATCGAGGCAAAAATGTCAGCAAATATTGTCCTTATCAAGACTCATTGCAAGAATCGACGAGGAGTGCTGCTCAAGGCACTCGATGAGATTGAGAAACTTCATCTCAGTGTCATTAGCTCGAGTTCCCTACCATTCTCAGATCAGTTTCTTGATATAACTGTAACAGCTCAGGTAAAGATTTCGGCATCTTTTTACTGAAATTAAACTTGATTTTGGATCAAGCTTAATTTTGGGTTTATGATGGAATTATTCTAAGTTTGACCAAACCCAAAATTAGGTCCAAATTCTAGAGGTTTTCTAGAAACACTCTAGAAGGTTGATCACCTCCTTATAGTGTTCTAGAGAAATCTTTAAGCTAAATATCTAGATAATAGTATAGAAACATCTAGATAATTTGTGATAAAAATATTTAGATATTATGTAGAAATTTCTAGATATTAGAAAAATATCTAGGAACTATGGAGGTGATATTAGAAGAATCTAGATACTTTGTAACATATCTTTGGGAGGCTATAAATACCTCCTCACCTCTCTCATTTGTAAGTAAGAAGAAAAAGTTGAACAAGTGAATAAAGCAAGCTCAAATAAAGAGTCTTCCTCTTCATAAGTTCTCTACATTTCTCTAAAAGTCTTTCAAGTGTTCTCTAAGTGTTCTTCATATTCTTCTTCATACTTAGAGGTTTATTCTCTTGGTTTCTTTCGGGTTTCTCGGGTATTACGGTCTTGGGCTAGTGCTAAGCACTATCGGTGTTATCTTTACATGGTATCAGAGTCATTCTAATCTTGTGCTCTTCAAGATCGGGGTTTAAAGAGAGCTCGGGTTTACTCTAAGTATGGAATCAATGGGTCGTGTCGTTGGATTGGGAATGGAGATCTTAAACCAATCTAACTACCGGTTATGGAAGTCATGTATGGAGTCATACTTGGTTAGTGAGGACTTATGGGATGTCGTCGGCGGTAGCAGCACAACACCACCAAGGGGAGATGCTGCAACAGCGGAAGCGACAAAGGAGTGGACACGGAAGAATGCCAAGGCGGAGTTTGCTTTGAAGAGGTCAATATCTTCAGGACTATTTGAGCATGTCTCAAGATGTACATCCGCAAGTGCTATTTGGCAGGCACTAGATCAATTGTTCAACAAGAAGAACGAGGCTCGTCTACAACTGTTAGAGAACGAGTTGGCGAATGCGAAGCAGGGGGAGTCTTCAATCTCAGAGTTTTTCATCAAGGTAAAAAATCTTTGCTCTGAGATTAATACTCTCAATCCGGAGGAGTCGATTTCGGAAGCACGGTTGAAGCGGTCTATTATTCGTGGTCTACGACCCGAATATACACCGTTTGTTACTTCAGTTCAAGGATGGGCTACACAACCTTCCTTGGAGGAGTTTGAAAATCTACTAGCTTCGCAAGAATCACTAGCCATGCAAATGGCGGGAGTTAAAGTCCATGATGACTCGGGGAGCGCTTTTGTAGTGAGGAGACAACAAAGCTTCAGAACCAAACCCAAATATGGTAATGTGAAGAATAATGATGGACGAGAAGGATCTTCTACGGGAGACAAGAAGCGATTCAAGTGTTATCGGTGTGGAAAACTTGGGCATTTCAAAAAGGATTGTCGAGTCAAGCTGAAGGAAACAAATATGACAGAATCAAAGGGTCATACTGAAGACGAAGAATGGGGAAAATGTTTCATGGTGGAGGCTGCATCTTCAGGTACATCCACAGCTAAAAATCTTGGAAATGATTGGATTGTGGATTCTGGTTGTAGCCATCATATTACCGGAGACGAGAAGTTGCGTCATGACGGGAAAGAAGCCATCATTACTGCGGATAATTTAATCCACCGCGTTGAGAAGGAAGGGACAGTCGTTATTGAAGGAGATGATGGAAGCCCAATCACTCTCAAGAACGTATATCATGTTCCTGGAGTAAGGAAGAATCTTCTCTCTGTGGTGAATGCAGTTGACTCAGGTAACTACGTTTTATTTGGCCCAAGAGACGTTAAATTCTTAAAGAATATTAAAGAATTAAAAGCTGACGTGGTTCACACCGGAGCACGGGTTAAGGATTTATATGTTTTATCGGCCTCAAATTCTTATGTTGAGAAGATGAGTACGAATGATAATGCCTTTATATGGCATGCTAGGCTTGGTCATATAAATATGACTAAGCTAAAGGTTATGGTAAATAAGGATTTGGTTAACGGGCTCCCAAAGTTGAAGATTTATGATGAAGGAAAGCTTTGGGAAGGCTGTCAATATGGAAAGTCACATAGGCTTCCATTTGACAACTCCACTTCACGATGCAGCGCTCCGTTGGAGAGGGTCCATAGTGATTTGATGGGTCCGACGAGAACATCCTCCTATTCTGGGTTTCGATACATGTTACTGTTTGTTGATGAGATTTGATGGGTCCGACGAGAACATCCTCCTATTCTGGTTTTCAGTACATGCTACTGTTTGTTGATGACTTCTCACGGTACACTTGGGTATACTTTGTGAAGGAAAAATCAGAAGTATTCTCCAAGTTTCAAGAATTCAAGGTTACCGTGGAGGGAGAATTAGGTCAGAAGATCAAGACTTTAAGGACGGATAATGGAGGGGAGTTCATGTCAAAGGAGTTTCTCTCTTTTTGCCAAAAACATGGTATCAAGAGAGAATTTACATGTCCGTATACACCTCAGCAAAATGGAGTAGCGGAAAGGAAGATAAGACATCTAAGCGAGACATGTAGAAGCTGGTTACATGACAAAAATTTTCCTAAGGCCTTATGGGCGGAAGGCATGAGATGTGTAGCGTATGTCATCAACCGGATGCCACTTAGTCCGAACAATATGAAGTCTCCTTATGAGATGATTCATGGGATGAAGCCAACGGTGAAACATCCAGGATATTTGGATCAATCTGCTACGTCCACGTGTTTGACTCTCAAAGAACCAAGTTGGAGGCAAAGGCGAAGAAATGCATCTTTGTCGGCTATGATGAACAAAGGAAGGGTTGGAGGTGTATGGATCCAGAGACACACAAGTACACCGTGTCTCGTGATGTTGTCTTTGATGAAGTTTCCTCATTTTATGGGCCACCTCAAGTCTTTGTCGAACAAGAAGGTAGGGGTTCCTCCAAGATCGATGAACCAGTTGTTCAAATGCCAAGTGAAAGCAGAAGTCTTGAAGAAGAGACGCAAGGTGAAAGGGGGAGCACTGATCAAGAGGAAGATGAGGAAGAAGATCGTAGTTCCATGGCTAATCAACGGCCAAAAAGGAACATTGTTAAGCCTGCTCGGTTCAGAGATGAAAGGTTTGTCACTACTTACTCATGCTACTTTGCAGCTCCATTAGATGAAGAGGAGCCATCATCGTATGATGAAGCAAAAGGAGTTCAAGAGTGGGAGGGCGCAATGAAGGAGGAGATGAATGCTCTCATGAAGAACGAAACTTGGGATTTGGTTCCAAAACCCAAGGATGTCCAACCCGTTTCTTGTAAATGGGTGTACCGAATTAAGCGAAAAACGGATGGGAGCATTGACAGATTTAAGGCAAGGTTGGTTGCTCGAGGGTTCTCTCAAAAATATGGAGAAGATTATGATGAAACTTTCAGTCCAGTGGCAAAGATGACTACGGTACGCTCACTTTTATCTTTAGCCGCAAGCTTTGGTTGGAAGTTATGGCAACTAGATGTGAAGAATGCTTTTCTATACGGAGAGCTTGATAAGGAAATCTTCATGGAGCAACCGCTTGGTTTCAAGTCACGAGAGCATCCTGATTATGTCTGCAAGCTTAAAAAGGCTTTGTACGGGTTAAAACAAGCTCCTTGAGCTTGGTATGGAAAGCTTGCTCAATTCCTTCAGTTTTGCGGGTATGTGCCATCAAATTCTGATCCGAGTCTATTCTTCAAGAAGAATGGAGGAGTCCACGTGGTGGTTCTTCTTTATGTGGATGATATGATCATCATCGGGAATGATGATGCTGAAATTGCTCGTCTACAAGAGGATATGTCGGTGAGGTTTGAGATGAAAAAGTTGGGTGAGTTGAACAATTTTCTTGGTTTGGAGGTCGAAAGGGTAAATGATGGAATATTTGTCGGCCAAAAAAGCTACGCAAGAAGGATTGTTGAAAGGTTCGGAGTACACGAAGGGAAGACACGTACTACTCCGATGGACGTGAACATAAAGCTTAAACGCGATGAAGGGTCCTTGCTACCTGATCCTCGACCTTATCGCTCTCTTGTAGGAAGTCTTTTATACTTAACCATTACAAGACCTGACCTTGCCTTCGTGGTGGGTCTCGTAAGTCGGTTTATACAAGAACCAAGGAAGCCACATCTAGAAGCGGCAAAGAAGATTTTGAAGTATGTAAAGACAACTCTTGGCATGGGTCTGATGTACAAGTACAATGCCAAGGTTTCTCTTCATGGTTTCACGGATGCTGACTTTGGTGGAGATCTAGATGATCGAAAATCAACTTCAGGGTATGTGTTCTTATGTGGAGACACAAGTGTTTCGTGGTGCAGCAAGAAGCAAGCAACGGTGTCATTGTCTACCACTGAAGCGGAGTATTAAGCTTCAACACTCGCAGCTCAAGAGTGTATATGGCTTCGAAGACTCCTTGAAGATTTGTTGGAGCCAATCAATAAGCCGGCCGGTTGTAAACCTGTCCTGGGGGCAGCTCTCATGGTGTACGTTAGCGCGCGATCTGAGGATTGCTAACGTGCGCCGCTGCCGTGATAAAAATGGCAAGGAAGAAGAAGAATAGCGGGAAGAAGCTCCTGAATATTGGTCTCAGAGCATCAAATCTGAGTTTGATTTCTCCTGGTGATCAAATTGATGCCTGTTTCGTTGAAGATGATGAGGGATCTTCTTCTGTCGTCATGGGATCCACTGGTCCACGAGGTGAGAAGATGAAGAAATCTATGGCAGAGATTCTTGATTCTCTGAATTCTCAGTCCTCTCCGGTGGTGAATGGGGCTCAGACTTCTCAGGTGGTGAATGGGGCTCAGTCGTCTTCAGTGATGAGAGGATTCCAAAATCGTATTCTAAGTAAGTCTCCCCTCTCTCGAAATGTCTCATCTAGTTCTAATAGAGTATCCTGGGCTGACATAATCGAACTGGGAATGGATCCTAATTCATCTCCTCCTAAAGATCCTAAGGAAGTATCAAGTTCTGCTGAGGGATTG